TTAAGGTAATTTTGAAAGAAAGTGCTATTCCGACAAGTTCCTTAACGAGGGCTATAGGGATGCTGGAATAGCACACCCATTATTTCGAAATATATTTCGAAATCATGGGCGCGTTTAAAGACGTGGCTATTTCGGGATACTTCCAGTATCCCGAAATAGCCCTGCTGTCTAGATGTAGCCTCAGTGAGTACCATTCTGTTTCAAAAGGCAGTTGAAGACAAAAGAGGATACCTTCCCATTGCTTAAATAGACATTCCCACAGGGTGCAAATCCTTTGTTTCACATCCCCCTGTCCATAGAAAAATACCAGGTTCAAAATGGATTTCAATACTAGGTCTTTCTAGATCAACCACCTTCTGGACTTGCAGGACAAACAAGGCTGTTTACAAGTTGTTCAGTTTACCACCAAGCCATTAGATTTCCAGAACACAGTGATTATCACATTTAAAATTATAAATAGATTCACACTATATATTTCTAACTTCACATACAAGAATGATAGATGCAGAAAAATAGGATAAACGGATCCAGCAGATTGTAACATTTACATTGATAGGTTCCCATGAAGTATTTTGTTCCCACGAGGGAGGACATATCAGCTTCAGGATAATGGGGAGGCAATTCAGAAGTGGAATTCCAGAGCTCTTGATTAGTTCCTTGCAGCCAGAAGTGCTGAGCATACACAATTGCTGTTGATTTCTGCTGTATTTGCAAGTGCTCAGTATTTCTGGAAATGATGCCCCTTATGTCTCAATTTGGACACACAAATTGGGGAACACACTCTTATGTCCACTTGTCAGTTTTAGTTTTAAGTGACTTGCTGAGCATCGCATAGTAACTCTGTGATAGAGGCAGGAAGAGAACTGAGGTCCCTTTGGGAAGTTCATTTGTCTAAAATAGAAGATTTTTTTTCCTCTTACTGCAGTTCTGTATTTACCTCCCAGCTTCTGCAGCAAATGAGGCCAGGATCCTACAACCAATCTCATTCACTACATAACCCTAATTCATTCCATGGAGTGCCTTCCCTGTGAACTGAGACACAGAAATCTTATGGGAAAAAATACATGACCATGTAATTAAAGATTGTATCATAATGCTTATTCAGCAGAGGTCCAAATTCAGGTTACACAAGCAATCTTAATTCTGGTGTTTCTTAACTTGTGAATGTTTTACTTTACAACCTTAATGTTCTTTTAATATAGGGATTTGAGGCATGTTATTTATGAGTGTAGCATGCAGAGTATTTCTAAGTTGAATTTTACTTACTATTTTTGACAACAAAGAAACATTTAGTTTAACTCTTTAACTGGAATAGCTTTTCAGGTTTCAAACAATCACTTAAACATCTAGTTATACAAACAAAGTTTGCAGTTGTAACAGGGTGGACTAGGCCCCAAAACCCCCTTCTTGAAGCTTGTCACACCTCACTCCAGGAAAAAGAGTAGAGGAGAAGTTCTCCAGACATGCTAGAGTGGCTGCTTCAGCTGCATCTAATCAGGACCCAGCTAGTGAGTACAAAGAAACTGCTGGGTCAAGGTCAGTCCAGTTCCTCTTTGGAGCTTGTGTTAGGCAGACCTATGGGTGGGCTGACTGAGAGTGGCAGTACCTTTGACAAGTCAGTGTGGAGAGTAGATTTTAGACCCAGCTGAAGCCCAGGGCTGGCAGCTGAAGACCCGATGTGGTGGGTAGGAAGAGGTGCAGAAGCTTGGTGAGGATGCTATTGAGACTTTAAGGCAAAGCCCTGAGGGAGGGCAAGGACAGTGCATATCTATGGGGAAGTGGCCCAGGGAGCAAGTAGCAGTGAAACCTTAAGGACTAACATGAAACAGACAATTACTTATGAACAGGGTCCCTGGGCTAGGACCCAGAAGAGTGACTGGGCCTGGGTCTCTTCCTCCCCCCACCCCCTGTAGCTTCTAAAGGGGGAAGAAAGGAAACCTAAAAGAAGGGACATCTGGGATATCATCCACTCCTGAGCCAGGAGAAGGAACAGGAGCTAGTTGGACACACATCCTTGGCCAGAGGGTGTGCTCAAGAGAGGGTGAGCCCTTTACAACTGTACATATGTTTTAGGAAATAAACAATGAACTGTGCTTGTCTTAAGGATGTTAAGAGGTGGGGAATCCACTAATCATGTAGTCAATAACATTTTTATCGAATACGCAGTTAGTTGATAAGGGAAGTCTTCCTCATTTGAAAGATCACGCATTCATGCTGCTTAGAGGTTTTGCTTGATAGCTATCCAAAGCAATATGGACCAATGCACGTTCAAGTTCATCATCTGAGTCAGATGCCACCAACAGAAGACTGATTTTCTTCTTTAGTGGTTCAGGTTCTATAGTTTCCACATAAGAGTGTTGTTCTTTTATGACTTCTGAAAGCATGTTCCACACCTTGTCCCTCATACTTTGGAAGGTGCTTCAGATTCTTAAACCTTGGGTCAAATGCTATAGCTATCTTTAGAAATCTCACATTCGTACCTTCTTTGTGTTTTGTCAAATCTGCAGTGCAAGTATTCTTGAGATGAACAATATGTGCTATGTCATCTGAGACTGCTATAACATGAAATATATGGCAGAATGCAGATAAAACTCAGAGCAGGAAACATACAACTCTCCCCCAAGGAGTTCGGTCACAAATTTAATTCATGCATTTTTTTTTAACAAGCATCATTAGCATGGAAGCATATCCTCTGGCATGGTGGCCATCACACAAAAGACATACCAATATTAAGTATATCTGATATGTAAATACTTTGTAATTCTGGTTATAAAACAGCCCTTGTCACTTTCAGCTGACTACATTATCTCCTGCAAATGTAAACAAACTTGTTTCTCTTAGTGAAGACTGATTGGACCTGTAATCTCTAAAGTTTTTATTGTGTTGTTGAATGCAGTTGTGACAATCTACATTTCTAAGTTCTGTTTTCACAAAGAAGAGATTTCACCCCAGGACTTGTAAAGGTAAATTGAAAAAAGCTTTATCATTTTTACAATTCAAATATTTGTAATATGGTCTAGTCATTTTTTTCCTCCTGTCTTGAGGGCAGAGGACTAGAGTGGATGGCCTGTTAAGGTCCCTTCAAGGCCTATGCTTCTTTGTTTCTATGACAGAAAATACAACCAGCTCATTCTTACCTCAAACCTTTGAGAAACCAGTTGTTGATACTGCTATAACTGGACCAGAACTGACTAACTGGATTCTCCTTCCACATTAGCACACCTATTGATGTGATAAAGTGGTAGTAACCTGAGTCATCCTAGTTGATTGGAAATTGCATACTGGAAAGATTTACACTTACAAGCGGGAAAACTTTGACTGTTGTGAAAAGTCCTTTGTATATGCTCTGATAAACGCCATACAAAATATTCTCAACTTTCTTCTGTTCGTGTCTCCGTTTGGGTTAAAAAATAACCTTCCGAATGGCTTTTCTAGCCTGGGAAATTATATCATGTTAGTTTACAACCCTGAGAAATTGTGGCAAGTAATATAGTGTGAAATAGTGCACACAAGGACTGTTATATTTAACATTGTGTCAGCCGGTCATGGTTAAGGCTCCAAAGGTGGTGGTAACAATTTTTGGCACATGGAGGCCTTTCTCATCACAGCTTTTACATACAGCTGGTCTTCCATAATTTCAGAGACAACAACTGCAGAAGAGGTATCTATGTTTGATACATTAACAAAAGAGTGAAATATCTGAGTCTGCTAAGGAGAGATGTAGGCTGTAGAGTTGCCAGATGGTTTAACCAAAACCATCCTCTTCCCCACCCCTCCCAAAACATCCCCTCTTGATGTTTTTCTGTTTCTTGTATAAAATACAATAATACAATGCCCACAAAACAGATATTAGACAGGATCACAAAGAAAAAACAGTTTCTTGCCATTTCAACCAGAAAGGACACTGTCTCAACGACCTAATCACCTGTACCCTACTCCAGAAGACTTTCAAATCTGCACTTGAAAGGGAATCCTCTGAACTGTCATTCATGCTAAAATTCAACACTCACCGCGGGGGGCTCAACAAAGACACCAACTACCTTACCCATTACAAAGATAGCTTCCCCAATTATCACCTCTAATACCATTAGCTCACAGACATCTACCTTTCCCCACCTCTAATATCATTAACTCACAGACATTTACCTTCCTTTCCCCCACCCCCACCCCTCGCATCTCCCTTCTGTTCTGAAATGTGATTTGTCCTTTTCATATTTGTTCATTTTTTTTAATTGTATCCTTTGGTATATATTTTTTTCCACTATTTGATCTGAGGAAGTGGGTCTGGCCCACGAAAGCTCATCATCTAATAAACCATCTTGTTAGTCTTTAAAGTGCTACATAGTCCTGTAAAGAGTAATTAAGTATCCTTTAGCAAAAATAAAACTTGTTTTAGGTCCATAAAGTTTTATTAAATAACTTTTGTATTTAATTGTTATGCCTCCATCAGAAGGCTAAAAGTCACAGTATCCAGCAGCATCTGTTAGTGATTTGAATGCTTTTGTCTGTGACGTTTCCGTAGGGATTGGAGTTGAATGTAGGAAGTAGCATTAGTAGAATTGTTAGTTGAAACATTATAGCAGTTTTTATCATTTTAAATACAGTATACAAAACTTAAACTTTTGCATGCTGCAGCTCCAGATTTGGTGCCTGATCTGTAATTCTTGTGTTGTCAGGAGCTGATAGAAATATGGAAATAGTACATTCTACCCCTTTGTGCATGGTGTATGGTTAAAGCAGGAAAAGGGAGAAATGAAAAATGCTCCTTCCTAACAAACCCTGTTGAAAACAGTGAAGAAAGCAAGGGAAGCGGGGGTGAGTGGAGGGAGGTAGACATCACCCCAATCCATCAAATCTGACCATTATATATAAAAATAGTAGACTTTTTTTTATATCTTTTTTGACGTGCAGAGCTGGCAAAGATCAGATCAGTTGTTCTGAAACTGTGAAAGTATGACTTCTGTGCTGTTAAAACCTTGTAATATGTGCTAATCTTACAGAGCTATGTCCATCTGGGATAATAGTCTACAGATTACAACAATGTGTAGCATAGTGGGAGCATGGTTTGGAGCATTTCCTATTCCCCTGGATTGGGACCGGCCTTGGCAGGTTAGTCTTCATACCTTTTATTATAAATGTATACGCTTGTTTGTTGCAGTGTGAGAGATCATAGAAGTACATTAGGGAGACAATAAAAGTACATCAGAGGTGATAGCATGAAACTGTTAATGTAGTCAAATCCCATTTAAGAACTCTGCAATACATATCTTTTTTCAGTATCTATGTATTTTTACTACTTTTTTCAGTAGGTTCTGAAGTGTGCGTGCGCTGATATTACCAGTAGATGCTTGAAGATAACACTGAAAGCTAATATTAAGAGTTTGATATTGGGGAGTGCCACAAGCAGGGAGAGAAGAGCAGAGAGTATATCCATGCTCACTTTGTGGATAGAAAGCACTGCTTTTATTTATGGGGAAGAGAAGAGAGGTACTTTCCAAGTGTTTTAGCAGGGAAATACTTCCATTAAAGCACTTAGCAATTTTAAATGCATTTTGTTATTGGCTTAATATTGATTGGTGGAGTTCGTGTGGCCAAATACCTCTGCTGAAAATGTACCTTAAGATTTCAAAGGAAACACTGGCAAATAACAGCTACTTTGTTGCATAGTAAAAAAATGGGAAGCTGGCACTGCAGAAAAATCTGTAAATTCAGCAGTCTGCATGATACCATTTGACTTAAATTGACATGACGAAATGATCTCTTGAGCTGTTATGTAAATGCTCTGAGATGATTCTTAGTAATATCTATTGGTATAATTAGAAAGAAAATGCTGCTGCATTCCATACTAGTAAGGTGCTGTTTTCACTAAATCCTTCAGCAATTAAACAGATGGAGGTCAGAAATCTCCTCTTCCAGAATCTAATAGGGCAGCCAGTGTTCAAATCTCTTTCATTCTCCTGAAGCCTAGTGATTTATCCTCAGTTTTTTTCCAGCAGCAGCCGAATAGGTTACCTTTGTGTCAAAAGCCTTTCTTTATATTAGTATAATTACATCTTTACTAAAATGTCATAAATGTCCTAAGAAATTAGAGTAACAGATGTGCGATTTAGTAGCTTAAGAATGAAGTTTGACTTGACTCCCTGCAACTACATATTCTAAACCTTAGAGCATGTTCCTCCTTTCCCTCCTCATGAGGGTAGGTGCTTGGTAGCATCATTTATTATATAATTTATGGGGTTCCTTTGATGAAAGCTTAAAATCAGTGCGCTCAGTCCTGTAACTTGTACTTTATTCTGGGCATCCTCCTTTGCTTACTTCACTGGGAATTGATGTGAAGCCGCATTATGTTGAATTTATAAACAATGAGTCCGCACCACTAACCGCATTTCATTGACTTTAAGGACCTTTAAAATCTATTTTAGTATTGCATGGCCAACTTTACAGTAGTATACAGTACAGTCTTGTCCAGAGTGGTCATTGTGGAGCATTGTGGGACACCTCCCAGAGGCCAAGAAGTTTGACTTTCAAAGCACTGCGTCTTCAATACTGTAAAATTGACCATGCAAGGTCGAATTTAGCATTATTTCTCATGAAATGCAGGAGTACTGAAATTGACTTTAATGGCTCTTAAAATAAATGAAATGGGCTTGGTGGCATGGACTCATTCTTTACAAATTCAATCTGTGGTTAAATTCGACCTAAATTCATATGGTAGACCAGTTGTTGCCTTAGTTGTTTTGGATAGTGGATAAGACCTAATATGGGCAGAATTAGGGCAACTCTTTATTAATTTGCATTACTTTCTATGCCAAACTTCCTTTAATTACACTGAAATTGGCTTAGTATCTGGAATTTTATTGCTGTAACTCAGTGGTCACAGATCTCTGTGCTATGGGAGCTCCTTTGCTTCAGTGCAGGAGATTAGTGATTATTTAAATTCTTGTTATGAGCAAGGATTTGTATGGGTTTTATACTTCTTAGAGGCTTTAGCACAATTCACGAGCATGGTAAAAACACATTTTAAACAATGTTGTTGTAGTTTCTGATGCAACTCTATTGTAATCAGATTACAAAGATTGAATTTATAGGGGTAATAGAAATCAGTGTTTCGAAAATTGATCAGAATTGTGTGCCACTAGCACTGGCCCACACCTTCTTTTCCTCCATTGCTTAGTATTAATCTGTTAACTTTTTACATAAAAAAAAGAAAGTTAAGCCATGAAATCCACAAATGGAACAAACCTCTTTCCCCATACAAATATCTTTAAAAATGCAGTCTTAAATAAAGAGCATTTTCTATGGAGATGAGCTATGAAGTAAGTGATAATAAAATGAAATCAGCAAAAAATAATTTTCCTCATAAAGATGTATCATACTAAAAATCACAATCTGTTTTCCATAATTTTATGTTTAAAAGCTGTTCCTCAACTAATACTCACATCTAGACTGTGTACTTCAGCATTATGAAATTGTGATTGTTAGGACTAAAGGAGAAAACCAGAGACCTTTATTTGCTTTGAGAATGTTGGTTGTGAAACACTTGTGTGGAAACGGCCATTCTGTGACCCTCATACAAAATTCATTGCATTCTGCTCACTTTAACCCTAATAATGAACTGAATTTATCAGAAACATTACTTATTTGGCTTGTGCACAGCAAGATTCGAAACACTTCTAGTGTTTTTCCAATGGATTATATTTAAACTAAATTGTTGCAAAAGGAGGAGCTAACAGATATTCATTGGCTAGTGTAGCTGAAGCTTTGCTGTGTTATAAAATGGCTTACAGGACTTTGGTCTTGCATTAGAAATCAGGCCATTCTTTCTTTAATGACATGGTGTACAAACGCTAGCCACTGGCCACGTGTGGACTATTTTGCCAGTTGAGTGTGGTTAGTTGGCTTGAACAATATGGCTGTTTGGCTGGTTGAATGTGGCTAGTTGGCTATAGCAGTGGCCACTACAATGGTTACTGCTTCAGAACCGGTTGGACACCACGGCTTTAATGAATGTTGCAGGAAGGGTCTAACTCTAATTTAATAGTGCATTATGTTTAACCATGTGTGTGGAGAAGCATCACAAGCAGAATTTAAGTGCTGACCTTTGGCTCTGTTACAAATCCTGGGATTAGGTAACCTCAAAACTGCTACAGTCTCTGAAGTTCAGCAAGTGCACAAATGTACTGCTCTGATTTAAAATAAGTATTAAATGGTATCTATTTATCAAAGTTAGAGCAGTTACATATAAGCAGATGTATATCTCAAAACAAGCTTTGTATAACTGACAGATGTGTATTTTCATTAGCTCAGGATTTAGCAAATACTTCACCAAATCCAAAATCCTTTTCCAGACTATCTGGATGTGAGAGTCAGAATAAGTCATCTCTAGATCTACCTCTGAAGTTCTCATTAGGCATTTTCCAACAAAAGTGGCCCCAAGTAAAGTTAGTATCAATTGACAATTACTGCCATCTTTTCCCCTTCTTTCTTCTCATTGTTGAAGTAGAAGTTTCCAGTGTACTAATTTGAATAGAGTACTCTCTCCTAGCTTTCTCTCTGTCAGGTGAATGAGTGTGCTTCTGCAGTTAACACGGGAATACTCATGCTGCCACTTCCATCTTTCTGAGGTCCCGTTTTAAAAGTAATTTTAAGTGACTATGTTAAATGAGTTGTTAGTTTAATTCTTTGTGGACACTAGTTCACATCATCTGGCACCCTGATTAATAATCTCAGTAGAAAGACTGAGGAATGAATGGCAAGAAAGTTTTCTTTCAGATATGTTGCCAGTGGCTGTGTGGATAAAGTTTACAGTTCAACTGTTTTTATACCTTGTTCAGTGTGTGATGGGAAGAAGTCAGATGGCTACCAGAATGTAATAAAAGACAGATACTATCTTTTGCCTATCTGTCCAGAGAGGCTACTACTGCTCAGGAGATTTTTCAACTCCCTTTTCCTCTGCTATGGCAATGATATGAGTGGCTAAATCAGACTATGTCTTGCCCCTGAAGTAAAGGTTTTAGACCACGGCTACCCAACTTTGGAAGCCCCAAAGGCCACAATGATACTCACAGCAACACATGCTGAGAGCCGCAACTTTAGTGTGGTTGCATGTACAGGCAAATATATTTGCAAATAGCTTCTTTCACACTGATGGGTATGAATACAAAGATTACGGCAAGACTTCACAACACGCAGGCCCCATTTAAGTCAGTTCTGCTAATATTAATAAAATGCAATATTTACCCCATTTCTATCCATCCGACAGCACTTTTAATGAGCAATGATAGTCTAAGAATTTACCTATTAAAACACACATCAGACGACCATTATATTGACCGTTATAGAGTGTGTTCCTAGTGGAGGCCATGTTCAAAGGATCCCACCCGCGGGCCATGTGCTGAGTCCTGCGTAAATCCAAACTGCACCATGGGCTGCAAACAGGTCATGGGCCGCATGTTGAGAAGCCCTGATTTAGTGCTATAGTGAACCACTGAGGTGAGCAATTAGACAGAAAGTTGCTGTATCCTCCAGATGGGGTGAGATAATATTCAACCTACCGCTACCAGAAGCATAGGATCTAGGAGCTTCATCACCAATGGTTAAGATTTAATTTTAAAAATGTCTATATTTGTTATAGTGCTTTTCCATCAATAGATCTCCAAAAGTGCATCATATTTTCTAGTGTATTTATCCTCAATATCCTTATGCAGTATCTCCAGTGTACAATTGGGGAACGGAAGTGCAGAAAATCTAAACCATTTGCCTCTAATCACAAAGGCAGACCATGACTGAGCAATTTTAAAATTAAGATGAGATATTTTAGTGTTTTGCACCATAATTAACTTTTTTTAAATGCTACAAACTTTTACATGCTCTGCATTTAAATAGGAAGGATTTGTAGTCTCAAAAAACGTAGAAAGCTGGACACACCACTAATCTTGGACACATTACCTCGTCATGAACCACATATGTCATCTAAACAGAAAAACCAAGGTTTTAAAATAAAAACAGAATACAAATGTCTCCAAAAATCTGCACTTTATTTTTTAGAGTTAAATTTTGAAAAAGTATCGCATACAAGGGGATATACAGACTAGTGGGCCTGTTTATAT